GCTATGACCTGATCAACAGCTATGAATGCCGCTGCCCAGAAGGATTTACTGGAGAGAACTGCTCCGTTAATATTGATGAATGTGAGAGCAGTCCCTGTCTCAATGGCGGGGAGTGCCATGATGGCATGGCAAATTATAGCTGTGTCTGTCCAGAGGGATACACAGGTAATTTTTTTACTTTAGTAAATTTGAATTAATTGTTTGTAAGATTTTTAATTACTGGATGCCTAATGAGTACAGAATTTATTATTTTAATAAAAAAATTTCATTGGTAATATATTTTATTTCTTTGATTTTCTTAATGCTGATTTTCTAGAAATCTTTTGATTTTAAGGTAATTTTTTCCCACTAAATAAATTTTTAGCTACTTTCTGATTTATCAACATTTTGTTTGTTTGTAGCTGTTCGTTTTTTAAAGAAACTTTTCACCTTGATTTGCAGGCCATAACTGTGAGACTGACGTGGACGAATGCGAGCTTCTACGGCCATGTGTCAATGGCATTTGCCGAAACACCATAGGGTCATACCAGTGTTACTGTCGACCTGGATTCTCTGGTGATCTCTGCCATGTAGACTTTGATGAGTGCCTTTCTCTACCTTGCCAGAACAGCGGCACTTGCATCAACAGGATAAATGGTTATGAGTGTGTCTGCCAGCCTGGTTTTACGGGTACTGATTGTGATATTGATATTGATGAGTGTGAGAGTGCTCCCTGTCAAAACAATGCTACCTGTTATGACGGTATTGCCAACTTCACATGCGAGTGCCTGCCTGGCTTCACTGACCAACTATGCTCCACAAATATTGATGAATGCGAGGTATGCATCTTACAGATCTTATTATTTTTTGACACTTGCTTTTGGAATTTTACTGCATCCTATTTTTATACATATTTGATTTTGCTTTTTAGTTGTATTTGTTTTTTTGTTTTGCTTGTTCTTTATAGCTGTAACCCACAGATGATTTTATTTTTACTTTTGTTGATAGAGAGCAAAATGCATGACAGATTCACTCTGGTTCATACAGTATCCTAATTAGTCTTTTTTATATAGGAAAGTTTATTTACCTTTTTCCCATATCTTTTGATAAGAATATTTATTTAATTTTTTTTCTTGATTTCAATACATTATTGTCAGTTCGTTTCCAATGTTTTGTCTGCATGTTCATTCTAGTCCGAGCCATGTTTGAACGGAGGCACGTGCACAGATGGCATCAACAGCTACACATGTAACTGTAGTGATACAGGCTTCAAGGGTGAACAATGCGAAATAAACATTGATGACTGTGAGTCCTCTCCATGTCAGCACGGATCAACCTGCTCAGATCTAGTGAAGGATTACAATTGTGCCTGTTTTGATGGCTATACAGGTTTGTCATTGTGTGCCTTTTTTTGTTAAGATTTTCGTGCATGTTTCATGATAATGAAGGTATGATAAAGAACTATGGCTTTTCACATAAAGTGTGTCTGTATATGTGAGTGTGTTTAAACATATATAATATGTAAACATGGTATTATGTAAGTGTATTTTTTTAATGCATATGTGTGATCATTTTTAGAGGGAGAGCATGTATACGTGCCTCTGTCCATTTATGTATTTGTTTTTGTGTCTGTTCCCTTCAATATAGGTGATAACTTATTAAGAGTTTGTGAGTGAATATAGTGAATATGTAAACATTTATAACTTGAGCTGTATTTGATAAGAACCATATATAGGTAATAAATTTTATTTAGAAGTAATCTTATTCAAACCAAATTTCTCCAGGGAAAAATTGTGAAGAGGACATTTTGGAGTGTGAAGAATTCCCATGCTTTAATGATGCCACCTGTCTGGAGAGAAGTAACCTCACCCTCTATGAAATGGGAATATTTTCAAATTTCAGTTATGAGAATGCTGGAGGATTTACTTGTGAATGCATTCCTGGTTTTACTGGTAAGATCTTGCAAAGTTCATTCTTTTTATTAGTTAGTCTGTGAGAATACTAAAATAAGTTTCTCAGTTTATTTAAGGTACTAGCATACCAAGGAGCTTCCATTTTGAATTCAGGAAATTATAGATTTTCAGTTTGAATTGGAAGGAACACAGTTGCATCAATTGAAATGTGTTTTTTTTTTTCAGGTGATTTTTGTGAGACAAACATAGATGAGTGTGCAAGCAGTCCATGTATAAATGGCCAGTGTATTGATGGTATCAATGCATATTCTTGTGACTGCTGGCCAGGATATGAAGGTTTTAATTGTGAAATTGAAATTAATGAATGTGAGCTCTACAGGCCTTGTGACTATGGCACCTGTGTTGATAAGGTAAGACACACCAAAATGCTTTATTGAATGCTTTATATTTTCATATCTTTCACTCTTCTTATTTTATGCCTTTTCCCTTTTTCTTTATTTTTTATTCTGGAATACTTTGCATATTTCAGGATGTAAATATTCCTCTAATAAAGTCTGAAGTTCATAAGTATATTTTCATGAATTAATATTTAGAGAAATTAGCTGTCTTAAAGATCTGGGGAGAATGAAGTTTTAGATTCTGAATCTTCATGGAAGTATGATTTTTCATATAGTTACTACATTCAGACCAAGCTGTAAAGGAAGAAGAAAAAAATTAAGCTCTTTAATTTCAGGTGGCTGATTATGAATGTGTCTGCGAAGAGGGCTATGGGGGGAAGAACTGCTCAGTCCCGCTGACGGGCTGTCTTGGAGTAGAGTGCTTCAATGGAGGCACTTGTGAGGCACTGCTCTTTAATGAGACCATCCATGACTTCAAGTGCCACTGTGAACACGGCTTTACTGGTCGTAACTGTGAGGAGCCTACTACTGTATCTTTCTCTGGGAACTCTTACATTGTGATCAATTCTCAGAGGGAAGAAGGTATGCTGTTTGTGTAGTTTGATTTCATGTTGATATATTTTTTTTCTTTCTTTTTGTAATTAGTATATTATGAAGCGAGATAATCTGACTTGCATTTTATCCTTACATTATTATTAATATTTTGCCTTATGCTTTTGTAATATCTTGTTATAGAAATTTATTTTAGATTGAATAATGAATATGAATTTTTTTTCAAGGTTATGAGCTGGCCTTCAGATTCCGTACCACTCTCCCCAATGGAATTCTTGCTGTAGGTCAGGGAGAGACTTACATCAAGTTGGAGCTTCTTAAAGGACAACTCAACCTCCATTCTTCACTTCTCAATAAGTATGTGTGAACTATAGTTAATGGAAAGATCCATGTTAATCATGTTATAAGGTTATATTAGTAAGTTATGATTATATTTTTGTCCTCTGTCTAAATAATTTAATGGCATATGATTAATCTTCCTTTATTTTCTGATAGATGGGAAGGTATATTTGCTGGTTCAGACCTCAATGATGGCCAGTGGCAGAATGTTAGAATGGCTGTAAATGACAGCCATGTTCTGCTGGCAGCAAATGATGAAGTGACAGTGCACCCCATCACACTTGTAAGATCTACGAACAGCTCAGAAACAAGCTTTAACACTTCATTTTCTACAACTGTCCTTGGTGAGTACAAAATCTTAATTTAAAGATCCTTTTTTAGACTAAAGAATTATTTTTATATTGTCAGAAAGTAAAGCAATGTATGATACTTGCAAAATCTATTTTGTCTTCATGAGTTTTTTTTATCTTTACCACACAGGAGGAGCCACATCAACATTGAGAATACTTTTCAAAGGAGCACCATTTTTCACTGGCTGCATGGAAGATGTAGTCCTTGATGATGAAGTTCTGATACCAAGAACTGTGCCACAGCCAATGAGGGTAGGTATCATTAGGGAAAAAAAAGAAGAAATTAATGTGATTATGATGATTGTCATCACAGTTTTTGCTTATTCTTTGCATAAAGAAGTGTTCTATTCTAATTTTTTTTTTTAATTACAGGATTTAGTCCAGGATGGTTGTCCTCGTGTTGAGCAGTGTGCCCCCAACCCTTGCATGAATGAAGGCCAGTGTCATGACTTGTGGACCAAGTATGAGTGTACTTGCCAGAGACCTTACCTGGGAGATACCTGTCAGCTTAGTAAGTATTTCTTTTTGGTTGATTTGTGAAAAAAGTGGTTTAAAATCTTGTTTATTCTTCTCTGTCTGCCTGTCTGTCTTGTTTCCTGGTCTTTTACAAGAATATTGAGGATTTTTTTTTACTTGTATGTTTTACTGGCCTTAATTTTAATTGCAAATAAGAATTATATAAGGAGAATTTAATCATCTTATAATTTTGTGACTATTAAACATGTTTTCATAGCTTGTTTTTTAGGTATTCATCAGGGGTGTTATTATTTAAGATTGTATAGTACTTTATGATTTGCATATTTAATTACTTCTTATATTTTGGAGCTATCTTGGAGGCTGAGATTAGTACATCATTATGCAAGAATAGTACATTGTTAGTCTTTGGGGGGGCATTGTTGGTTTTGTCTTTTGTTTTTTTAAGAAATATTGAGGAGATTGAACTTTATCCCCTCAGTTCATTTATTTTTTTTTTATAAAGTTATTTGATCACTGTTTGCTTCTTTTATTGATACTACAGCATTAATTACTTCATTTTACATTCTTGCATGGATTTTTAAAACCTAATATGATAGGTGGTATACATTTATTGCATGTGCACATGTATTTATAGTTTACTGCTGTTTTTTCCAGCTGGCACTTGCTTGTAAATGTGCAAACAAAGGGAGAAACAGATCTGTCTCTAGAATTATCTTGTTAGCTATTTGGTGCACAATAGACATTGGTAGTGGAGATTCTAAAGGAAAGTTACTTTTGACTTGTATAAAGAAATATGGAATTTAAAGAAAAGCACAGCAGAGTGAATCTTTTTCTTCACTTTCATAAAAAAGTAGATACTTCTTCACAGCTTGTCACCATTTTCACTAAAGTGTAATGCATGTTTTGCACACTCTTGCTGTAAGAGAAAAATTCTCTCTTGTAGTTGTTTCATCTGACTTGAAATGAGTTCTCTTGTTCACTTTTTTATTGTGTGTCACATTGAACTACTTCAGTCATGTCTTACTTTTAGGTGTTGAGTGTGTGATGAGAATGACACAATAATTATAATTTCCTTTTCTCCATGTCTCTCTCTCTCTCTCTCTCTCTCTCTCTCTCTCTCTCTCTCTCTCTCTCTCTCTCTCTCTCTCTCTCTCTCTCTCTCTCTCTCTCTCTCTCTCTCTCTCTCTCTCTCTCTCTCTCTCTCTCTCTCTCTCTCTCTCTCTCTCTCTCTCTCTCTCTCTCTCTCTCTCTCTCTCTCTCTCTCTCTCTCTCTTCTCTCTCTCTCTCTCTCTCTCTCTCTCTCTCTCTCTCTCTCTCTCTCTCTCTCTCTCTCTCTCTCTCTCTCTCTCTCTTTCTCTCTCTCTCTTTCTCTCACTCTCTCTTTCTCTCACTCTCTCTTTCTCTCACTCTCTCACTCTCTCTTTCTCTCTCTCTCTCTCTCTCTCTCTCTCTCTCTCTCTCTCTCTCTCTCTCTCTCTCTCTCTCTCCTCTCTCTCTCTCTCTCCTCTCTCTCTCTCTCTCTCTCTCTCTCTCCCTCTCCTCTCCCCCCCTCCCTCCCCTCTCCCTCTCTCCCCCTCCTCCTCCCCTTTTCTCCCCCTCCCCTCTCTCTCTCTCTCTTTATTTCTCCCCTCCCACTCTCCCACCTCTCCCCCTCTCTGTTTATTGGAGTGTGCGGTGTTAGAGAACTGTGAGGAATGTACCTTTTTTATGTGTTATGCAGCACCGTAGTTTGAAGGTAACAAAGCTCAGTGCACATTTATTTTATTCTGGATTACCTTGGGTTCTTTATTTTCTTCTTCCTTGTTTTGTCTAATTGATAAATTCTATTTTTTTCTTTTGAGAGGAGTTGTATTTGTAAAAAAAGAGAGAAACAGTTAACCCAATTTGCAAGCCACTTTTCCCTCTCACATTTTTTGTTCTCTTGAATTTTTGTAGGAGGAGCAACCTGGGAGGCATCACTCTGTAGGTCATCTTTGCTTCTTTACGTTAGCAATTTTTTCTGGCTTTTTCATAATATGCGTATATATATTTTTTTATAGATGGTGTACAAATTTTTCTCTGTTGTGTTTGTTATTATCAGATTTGTTGGAATTTTGATTTAAGTATAAATTTTTTGGAGTAGCTTGTGTAAGCTACTGATTGTATGTCATTTAGAGTTGCTTTGAGATCTGAAAATTGGATTTTGAAGTAGTATTTGAATGTATGTGCTTTATGATATGTGATTTAGATTCAGTATAACATTATATATTTTGAAAACTCAGTGATTAAGGTTCTTTTCTTAGTTGAAATATGTTTATGTTTATTGTTGGACAACCAAAAGGGTATATTACACTTTAAAGCTAAGAACATTACTAGGATATTGAAGCTTTATAAAATTATTTCTTGATTGAAATTTTGTTCACAAAACAATATTGTCTTTAATTTCACAATTTTATCATGTTCTTACATCTAAAGAATGACCATGATGAACGTACATAGAATTTCAATTAAATTATTTGCACATTACAAATTTAAGTTGAAATTTACCCTTCATTGTATTTTTAACTAGGTTTCACACCAGCCACTTTTGGAAATGAAGACATAATGGACAGCTTGGTAACTGTGGTGATCCCTGAGGTGGACCACACAACCTACAGGACACATGCTGATGTCTCGATGCTGGTGCGCACAAGGGAAAGCAATGGACTGATTTTCTACCTAGGAACAAGGGAAGACGATATCTCTATATGTAAGAATATTTCCTAACAGTTGATATTTTTAATAATGGGGGGGGGGGGTGCTTTGATACATAAGATAAATATATGTATCGTGGTAGAAGAATTTGTTTATCATTCATTCTGGAATTTCATATTGGAACATAAAATCTTATACCTGGATTACTCAAAAAAGTTGTTTTCCCACCTTGCACCTTTTCTTTAGTTTATATCATACACACTAATAGACTTCTGATTTTTATTTGATTCTTTATAGCATCTCCTGGAACCCACTTGCTAGCAGAGTTGAAGGACAACCAATTAGTTGTGCGCACTCAGTTAGGCGGTCCAGAAGAAATGTTCATTATTCCAGATGTTACACTTACTGATGGTGAACCACATCTGCTTCATGTGAGTAATTTTTTTTCCCCTTTCTTTGTTTTTACATCTTGTGGTAAAAATTATTTTATTATACATGTATTTCCAGAGTTTCCTCATAATCTATTGATTTTTCCTTCTCAACAGGTGAAGCGTATCAACAATGACTTGGAAATTTACGTTGACAATGAGCAAGTCCTCAACGCTACACTGCAACATGGAGGCAACCTAGAAGCTCAAGTTTTATACCTTGGAGGTGTACCTGATGGCTCCCACACCAGAGCGAAACGACAATTAGGTGTCAGTAATATTACTGTGACTGTCACTCGACCTCACTTCAAGGGGACTTTGCAAGACATCAGAGTGAGTAATGTCCTAATGAAAATGGATAAGGATTGAATTAGTTTTATATGCAGAGTATTGCAAATATGTATGATTGTTCTTATCTGATTGAACTTATGAATTATAATCTGATTCTCTGGGTGTAAACTGGCAGTGTAGACTAATCTGGAATTCCTTTTATCAGCTGAGCAATGGTACAGAGACCCGACTTGTGCAGCCATTCCCTCTGGAGAGTGTGACCCAAGTTGATCTTCCAGGAGAAAATCTGGATGGCGTTGACTTGCATAATGTGCTTGAAGGAACTGTTAGTGATGACACTTGCAACCCAGATCCATGTCATAATGGTGCAACATGCACAGTCACTTGGAATGATTTTCTGTAAGTGAATCCTAATATTTTTTCTTATTTCAATACTTTACTGCACTGATTTCATGATGATTTACGATAGCTTGGAAATTTATTTTGAGTGATGTAATTTACCTTGATGATTTTTATTTATGCAATATACTTATGATTGAGAAAAGTACATTGTGTTATAATTACTATGAAATAGATATGCATTGACATGGAGGCTTAATAGTAGAGATTCTATTAGCTGTATTTCTTTTCTTCACTATTTGATATCTTCCTGTCTGTTACTTAATTGACTTTATCATTATAATTAACAGCATCTGTATCAATTATGGCAAAATTGTGACTTTACAACTTGGAAAAGAATATCAACTTCATTCCTTCTTTACAGGTGTACTTGCACTTTTGGTTTCAAGGGCAAGACTTGTGAAGACCGTGAATATTGTGCAGTTTACCAGTGTCCAGTAGGATCTGAGTGTCTGAACTTGGATGATGGCTATGAGTGTGTCGCAAACTTGACTCTCAATGGTATCAATTCTTCCATTACATATTCACCAAGCTTTACAAACTTACAGAGGTCACTGAGTGAAATAACTATTACATACAGAAGTCAGGTATGTTTTGTACAATTTTTTTTTTGAAAGTAATGTTATATCAGTATGAAAATATTTGCTTTTTATATGTAAGGTTTGATATGTATCTTTGAAGTAATAAGCAAGGTATATTACTTCTTTATAGGTTGGAGGGGTTATGCTCTATGCAGCAAATGCAGATGCCAGTATTTGGATAGGTTCCAGTCCTGCCTCCATTGTAGTGGAGCAAACCAATGGATCTGCTTCTCAGAAGACTTTCTTCATGTCAAATTCTACCTTGGATGGGAACTGGCATGTGCTCAAAGTTGTAGTTGATCCTACAGGACTTCAGGTAAGATTGAAGTATAGTATAAGATTTATTTTTTCATGTTTTTCTTTGTTTGAAATAGACTTTGTGTGTAAAATTTTGAATGTTTAATGACTTCTTTGCTCTAAACAGGTTTCACTAGATGGGAATAGCCTCCTTGGTAGTGACCTTGCTGTTATTATTGACCTTACTTCATTGATTCTTACTGGTAAGTCTATAATTTATTCTTAGACCTGTTAGATTGAACCTTGTGTCAACAGTGATGACTGTTAAACGGATTATGGTGTTAATAGAGAATTCCTTTCTAACTCTTCAATTTTCATTTTAGGAGAGCTAAAGCTAGGTGCAGCACCACTGCCCTTGTCCACACTAAATCTCCTGGACCCATCATTGGTGAGCCCAACCTCTACTCCTGGGAACACCATACTACCAGACGAGTCATTCATGCCACAGGTGTTCCGTGGATGCCTAGGTGCAGTGAGAGTCCAAGAGGTGTTGGTTCCATTCTTCTCACAAACTGAACTTCTGAACAACAGTGCAGCAAACCAGTTTTTGAGACGGGTTAGTACTGCCTATTGACTAGATTTTGTTTCTTGTGTGTACATAACTAAATTATCCTACAGCAAGTGGAGTTGATATTAATTTTATTTGACAGTGTTTTGATACTAGACATTTGGCTTTTGCAGGAAGAATCATTTACAGAAATTGGATGCACAGTATGTTATGAGGAAGAGTGTGTCAATGGAGGCTACTGTTCAGATCCTTCAGAGGTATACAGTTGTACATGTGAAGCTGGATTTGAAGGCAATTTGTGCCAGATCAACATTGATGAGTGCATTGGGAATGAATGCCAGAATGGAGCTTCATGTGTTGATGGCATTAATGAGTACACTTGTAACTGTGCACCAGGATTTACAGGACAGTTGTAAGTTTACAGTTCTTGATATTTTCTGTAATTTCTTCTTGCTTAAATAGATGATGTGACTCAATTTATGATTTGATAATCATTGGTTACTGATATTCTTTACAATTCTTCCCTTCAGCTGTGAGGAGGATATTGATGAATGTGCTGATGAGCCTTGCAAAAATGGTGGGTTGTGCTTCAATGAAATAGCTAAGTTCAGGTGTGAGTGCCCAGAAGATTTCATTGGATTAACATGTGAAGAACTGAAAGTCAAGAATTGTTCCAACCGTATGTGCCTGAACAATGCTGTCTGTACTGATATTATAAGTAAGTATTCAGATTTACCTGCACCCTTTTAATTTTCTTATATGCATGTGTGTATGTATTTATGAATGTACATGAGGATATTTATATATTTCAATATGTAATTATATGCATATATCAATGTATTTATGTCTCTGGCAAAACAATGCCATGTTGATGATATGGTTGAAAAACCCTAATGTACACACTCTAAATTTATTGAAAGGTGAGTCAACATTTTCAAAATCATCTTCAGATGTGATGAAAAGAGGTAGGGGAATGAGTATAATAGTTAGAGAGTGTAGCTGAGGACATGTTAATGGAAATGAAGGCAGGAGGACAGGTCAGGTCAAGGGGTTGGGCAGTCTATATGCAGGGAGGCCAACATAAGGAAGTAATATGATGATATGGAAAGTGACAAGATCAGGCAAGAGCAAAATGGCTGTTGAGGTTGAAATTGGGCCTGTTATGATAAACTGTACATTGGTGGGATAAGTTCTCGGCCACCACTAGGGCACAGGCCATCAGATCTATTTTTGAGTTGCTTGTACTGTCTCCCCATCAGTGCATATCTGCTCTTGCAGACTGGAATTCTCTCTAATAAAGCAGCTGCCCAATATCAACTGCAACAGCTTAACAGTCTCTTTGCGCCCCATATCTTTAGATGACTACCAGCCACCCTTTTCATAGACCCTTTACTAGGTGACCTGACATGCTTTCATTACCAGGTACTTGTGTTCTTGCCTGCCCTTTATATACTATGCATGCTTTATCCTCTTCCCGCCTGCCTCTCTCTCTCTCTCTCTCTCTCTCTCTCTCTCTCCTCTCTCTCTCTCTCTCTCTCTCTCTCTCTCTCTCTCTCTCTCTCTCTCTCTCTCTCTCTCTCTCTCTCTCTCTCTCTCTCTCTCTCTCTCTCTCTCTCTCTCTCTCTCTCTCTCTCTCTCTCTCTCTCTCTCTCTCTCTCTCTCTCTCTCTCTCTCTCTCTCTCTCTCTCTCTCTCTCTCTCTCTCTCTCTCTCTCTCTCTCTCTCTCTCAGACAGACAGACACACACATATACACACACATATATATATGTTATTCTCTTGAATGGAAGTTATTTTGTATTTTCAGATCCCTTGACAAATGTAGCTGATAACTACACCTGTAATTGTCCATTTGGTTTCATTGGCTATAATTGCGAGACCATCAAAGACTTCTGTAAACTGGAAAATATTTTCTGTACTCATGGTACCTGTCAGCTCACCTACACAGAACCAGTAAGTAAATTAATATTTTTATTTATGGTGACCAATGATACTTAAAGACAAAGTTTTGCATTTTGCCCCAAAACATGTAGGTCTTATATTTAGATGCACACAGGTGAAAATGCAGGGCATGATTGTACTAGTATTCCCACAGGATGCCTGAGAGTGAAGGCTCTTTATTGTGATATTTTCAAGTCTTGTAATGTAGATTTTAAATGTTGGTTCAAATAATACAACTACATTTTTGTTTGAACTAATATGGTTGTTCAGTGCACTGTTGAAGAAAGAAACCAATTTCTCAAATTATTAAATATTTGCTACATAGCATTTCAGAAATGTGCTACCTGATATTTATAGAATGGTTTGTAATAACTTTTGCATTCCATGTCTTTTTCTAATCATCGAAATATACTTCTTTACCAGGGCTGGGTATGTTCTTGTGAAGCTGGCTGGGAAGGCCCCTATTGCAGTAAAAATATTGATGATTGTGCCTTAGACCCTTGCAAAAATAATGCAGTATGTGAAGACCTTCTTCGAGATTTTAAATGCCATTGCCCTGATACGTGGACTGGGGACACCTGTGAAGAGGATGTAGATGAATGTTCCTCCAATCCATGTGTTGATGGTGGAACATGTGTGAATCTCATGGGGTCTTTTGAGTGCCTTTGTGAAGATGAGTTTTGTGGTCAGACATGCAGTTTAACCAACCCATGTCTTGAGGTAAGTAGGAATAGTTCCATACAGTTTCTGAGTAATTTTTATGTGATTGCTGGACAGAGTTTAAGCTCTGTACTATTTCTGTGTACGTTTTAACATGCACTTATGTTTCTATTTTTTCTCAATTTTGACCCCTACAATTGATTGTCAAACAAAATTTCCAGGTTAATTGCAGTAATGGTGGTCAGTGTGAACACTTTTGTGATGAACACCGCCCAGATCAATTTAACCAGACAATGGGAGTATGTCGGTGTCAAGCAGGTTGGGGTGGAGAATTCTGCACTGAAGAGGTTAGCTATCCTTCTTTTCCTTTTTTGTGCTTCCTGACTTTTATCACTGGATATTTGGTCTTTAATTTAATTTATGTTAAGTAATGATAAAAGTCTGTGCATTAGAGAGAACCATTTCCCGGAAAGAAAAGTAGAAATCCTTATCTTCTACCCACTTTTTATTGTACAATAAGTATTTGAGTAAATAAGAGACATGTAATCATAAGGTTGCCTTTTTTACTTTTTCCCTGCTTACACTAATTCAGCCAATTTCTCAATTTCCAGGTTACACTATTCCCATCAGATGTGGATTTGGCCATCATTGTTGGATGTGTTGTTGGACTCATGTTAGTCATAGCAATAGTTGGTCTGACAGTGTTCCTTATGATGGCAAAAAAGAAGAGGCAAACTAGAGGAACCTATTCACCCAGCAGACAGGTATGCATAAATTTCTAGAATTCATCTTTTGAGGAGTTTGTAGGGTAGAAAACCATATTTCTACCTGTAGAGGTCTCGTGTAAACTTGGTGCAACTGGCAAGAATAGAACCAAAGCATTATACAGTGCATCTTTCTCTGGAAACAAAGATTCCACTCCTAATTCTTTCCAGTACTAAATGATCTTCAAACTGCATGATCCTACAATGAATTAAAGTAATGATTTGATGTCTACTTTTTCTTTGTTTGTGTTGTAATTAACAGTTAATGGAGAATGTAAATTGAGATTAATATGAGTTTTCATCAGGAGTTTTATAGTGTTAATGAAGAATATGAATTTAGATTCATTATATTTCAATTAATTCATAAATTGATATTTTTCTTACTTTTTTCATCAGGAATTTTACAGTCCAAGAGTAGAGATGGGGAACATGATGAAACCCCCACCAGAGGAAAGACTCATCTGAGCAATGTACAGTGCTTCTAAGAGCCAAGTATAAAAAACCTCCACAGTGAGATGATGCTCAATTGTGATATCTGCGCACCCTTTGATCTCCTCAGCCAGAAAGATCTCTTGCTGGAAGATTTGATGCTGATATATGAAGCATTATTTTAGGATTTTAATAATGGAGGCTATAGAGAAGTTGGATTGGCTGAGGAATTTTGTACACAATGAAGAAGTTACAAGCATGTGGTGTGCCACTAGAGATATGCTGAAGAGACTAATATGCTTGAACAATGCAGTGATAATGGCCTTGTGGAAGAGGCTACATGTATATAAATATGATAAGTAATGACTGAAGACTCAACAATTTAAATAGATACATGTGCATCCAGAAGCTGTTATGGAAGGGATTGCTTTAAAATGAAAATTTGTCAAAATATCTTGAAACAAGTCTCAGTACTTTAAACAGCTGTTGCAACAAGACTATTTATAATGTGATATAGTTGAGTCTGGATATATTGACACAGGTCACTGTAACCTGTGACTTTTTTCCTTATTCATATTTCTAGAAAATTCTGTGAGAATTTGATTGCAGAAAGCTTGCTCAGTTGTTGTTTAATATATTCTATGTACAGCACAGATACAATATTCAAAATGAAAAGGACCAGTTTATGAAGATATAAAATAATAACTAATAACTTTGTAAAAGTTCGGAGATTGGAATGCAAGAATGAATGAGGGCAAATTAAGTAGCACGGGGCAATAATGTCTTCCAAAAGTAATATCCAGTGTTCTGCAAGTGGAAAATTGAAATTGATTTTTTGTCCCCTTAGCTTTTATGAAAGTACTCTTAAAACACACGAAGAATACAATTTTAAATTACTGTAAATTTATATGTGCTCAGAAGTGTTCAGAATGAGATTGCATTTTTTGGATTGCAATCAGATTGTCCTAATTATGCCTATATATATATATATATAATATACTATATATATATATATATATATATATATATATATATATATATATATATATATATATATATATATATAAATGCTGATTTTGCTTTTTCACCTAGCATCAATTGTGTATGCAGTAAACCACCCATATATTTCTTTCTTTCCTTATTAGTTTCTCTAAATGTTTGTTATTTAATATTTTGATTACTATGTGCTGTCTGTATTATGGTTGTATGAATACTAAAGACTGTGTGAGTATGAATGCTGTGTAAATATCTCATAGATAGTCAGTTCATCTCTTAAATGATGAACAGATAAAAAAGGAGTTGTTAGTTTTTTATCATTCCTTTAAAATGGAAACCCAGATTTGTAAATCTTTACTCTTTAAAAATCATGTTGCCAAGTGCTTAATACAATGAAGCTGTAAAGGACACACCATATTGAGTCAGCTTTGCCACCCCTTAGGTCTATTTGTTACATACATATTTTTGAGCCACTCCTAAATTATGCAGTAAATACCAAAAATTCTGTTGTGTTTCACATATCATACTTCATAATACCTGATGAAATTTTGTACTTGGGAACTACAATTTCTTTGTCAAATCTACTGACATAATCTGTGATCCTGGAGAGTTGTTCCCATATAGATTATATGGCAACTTTCTATGAATTTCATAATTTCATTTTACCCTATTTCTATGACGTGTAAGAAAATGTTCTTGAATTTATTATTTCATTGTTTTCCCAGTGTACACAAGTACTGTAAAGTGACAAATTTGTGAACTAGCCATTGCTTGAAGTATAATTTATAAAGACGGTTGGTTGTATTTGGTGCAATAATAATATAATATACAGTACCATACTAGTAAAATATCCAGATACAGAAAATTTCTTATTAATGGCACCAACAGAGGGTATATTCAGGTATTTTGCAATGAATTTATATTGTATAGTTTAAATCAAATAATTTAGGTGAAACTGTATGGTAATGATTTCTCCCTCTTTTTGTAGTACATTCCCTTTTCTGATCCCTGTGAATGTGATCCCTGT